TGGGTATAACAGAAACCTGGATGACCTCTCCAATTGATTTAATTAAAAATAAAGAAAAATACAATATTATATCGACAACAGCTTAGAAACCAGATTGCCCAGGACGTCTCGATAGAGGACTAAGTTTAATATTAAAGAAAAATATTTAAGTAAAATTTATTCAAAAAACCACTAATTATATAACAATATTGGTATAAATTACTAATGTAGGCCTGAAATTTCTAGACAAAAAATTAATAATAACCATGTTGGTCTACATACCACCGGAACATTGATATAATGTATATGATAATTCAAAGACCAACTGGAAATACGGTTATATACTAATGATTGAATCAGCCTTGTCACAGTCCATAATAAAGGACCACAATTCAATAATGAATTCGGTTTATCATCCTTGGTACATAAATACTATAAATATACCTATAAACTCGAACATTATAACCGCTAATACAAATATGAATATTAAACGATTATTACTTCAATTCAGACTCAACAAATACTCATTATTTGTCAACAACATTTATATAGATTTCGCTAAAGAACATTGCTAAGTGTTGGTGTAAATCCAGTGACTTCCTTGCTCCGTTTGTTAAAGGACTGTGAAGGATTAGTAAAATATCGTCAAGAATATGAAATTACCGAAACAATTTATACGAACCAAATCTTAAACCATAGAACTAGGCTAGGTAACCTAGCAATAAACCAAATGTATAAAATAAATGACTTTTTGATTCAAATTACTAACGAGCTAAAACGATATGGAACTAATTTAAAATTATTGTTGATTTTGTACTGTACCTTATTAATAAAAATATATTATGTAAATTCATTTTCATAAATATTGTCATAAAATTTATGTAATTCTACTAGTGTATTTAAAGAAATGTACAAAAGAATAACAGTCAAATACGATATGTGAACTTAAATGTAGTTAAAAAATTAACCCCCTGTAACAAGGTTCGCTTTAGAACAAATTAAGTTTGTTAATAAATAATACTTAATTACACTATAATTTTTAATTGAAATAAATATTTTAGATTAATATAGAAGTGTGCGTAATTGCGACTACTTACGACATTTATCACAACATTTTTATGTTCTGGTATGTATGAAACATTCCGTTTTATGATCATCTTTATTTTGGTGAAGATATTGATTAATTAAAAAATATGAAATTTGTATAAATGGATTTTAATTTTAAAATAGTTTAATCATTCAATATAATTTAGAAGATAAAACAGGAAATACAGTAGAGCATCGATTATCCGACTCAACTGGGGACTGCGTTGGTCGGATAACTGAAAAAACGGATAACCGAAAAATATGAAAAAATACATTATTAGTATAGTATATTAGTATATCTCATGTAATTAGTATATTAGTATATCGCTATTAACCTACTTCGGTTGAATTTTCATTGATGTTAAGCCTAGCAAAAATTTTTTTAAAATAATAATCGTCGCTATTGTATCGTTAAAAATTAGAAAATTAAGCCTCATTTAAATACTGGCTCCCTTTCATGGTCGAGCCATACTGCCAGCTAAAACACGTAAAAATACTATTAAAGTAGCCAAGACATAGCCAAATGTTGCAGCGCCACATCATCAGCGGACATTTGAATTTGCCGACTAGAACGGTCGGTTAACCGATGTGACGGTTAATCGGGGGTCGGATAATCGATGCTCTAATGTATTTAAAAACTGCTATGCAGTAAATAATAAGCAGATGACAGCATTAATAAACTTTTACTGCTACAAGGAAATGGCTGTTGGAGAAATCCGCACGATAAGATACCGCTTCTCCATTCGGGAATTTACTCGAATTGCATTTGTAACGCAGTCGACCAATATAGCCCATCTTATTTTTGCCCATTATAGGCAAATCTATTTGAATTTTGATTGGTCAGCGAGCAAGAGAGATAGTGAATGACGCTTCATCCCTAATTATTTGAAGAAAAACTATACTGACGTAGAGATACCTTGCTGTATTCTTGACAATCACAAGTTTAAATCAGGACACTTAGTTTCCATCCTTCTTTTCACTGGCTGACTCGTATTGCGAAACAAGCTAGTTCTTATAAGGCAAAGTGAGACTAAATTTTTTAATATATTACGTATTAGTGATACGCAAAAAGTTGAATCCAATTCAATGAAAATAAAAGAAGAATAACATTAGTTTCACTTAATACGAAATTGATTTTTCTAATTACTGTAATTAAATTTTCTTAAACAATAATTTATAAAACAAGAACAATTTATGAAATTCTTTTATTTATGAAGAAAGTCTCTGCTTAAAAATTATCGAATCTACTTTACTAAAACTTATTAAAACATTCTACTTTATAGAGATTATCAATCGATATCGCAAATAAATAAAATTTTTGCACGTGTAGCCTATTATCGGATCATTATCGAATCTTCATTATCCATTATCATTATCGGACCTTCATCATTTAAGCAAAAATAGAAATGGAAGAATTTAAATGAGAAATAATTGATTATCCTCTTATACAATTACCTCCAGAAATCTCAAGAACTCGGCAAACTATTCAAATGATTCCGGTTTTGCAAACTCGACCTTCTCTCAAGATAACTTCACTTATTTTTTCTTAGATTCCAATTTGTAATTCAAAGTTATCCATTTGCGTTCAAAATTACCTTTTTTATTTTAGAATAAAAACTTTAAACATTTGTTTAATTATTCATAATGAATCTCGAGATATTTACTAATATAGAGATAGAGAAAAAGAAACTTATTACGTTTAAATGGTACTGTTTTGTTGAAAATACAATTTCAATACAATCTTGACTAACCTACTGATTGTTCCATGATCATTTACTATATATATATTGATAACATATCAAACGATTATAATATGTAAATGCGAATAATAATGTAATTTCTCTATGTACAAATTCATGTAAATTTCTACTTATACTTTTATTCTCTTCAAAAATTGTTAAATTTTATGATTCAAACTGAAACAATAAATAAATATATATTACACAATTGATCTTCTAATCTAAAAATATGCCTGTAACAAAATGTAATTTTAATCTTGCTGTAGAGATCTGCACTTTCTATGATGGTCTTAGTAATAATATAGTCTATCTATTATTCAAATCATCTAAGTAAAATCTTTATATCTTGTAATATAATCGAGATAGGTTAATAATGGTGATAATAAGCCCAAACGGTTAGGAGTTGAAAGTTAAAATTTGATACACAGTTAGGATACGTCATGAGAACGTACACTAAGAAAGGATTCTTCAAAATCCCCCCCCGCGGGGAGAGGGAAAAATTAAGGCTTACCGTGAAGAACTCGGCTTCTATTATACTATTATACTAATATAGATGCAGTTTTTTGCGTTTTTCATTGCGTTTTAATAGGATATGCCATGAGAATGCACATTAAGAAGGGATTTTTCGAAATTCCCACTGCAGGGAGAGAGAGAGAGATCGTTAGAGCCGAAGAACTCTGCTTCTATTGTATTATTTTAGATGTCTTTTCTGCATTTATGCGGGAAATAAAACAAATTTTTAGACCCTTCTAAAAATTCTCGACGATATTTAGTGTTCCATCATATATAAAGTTGACACGGGAGCGCGCGCATAAGTTCGCTTTATTCGAACTCTTCGTCTTAATGTTCGATTTAATGTTCGAATTTATATTTATGAATGATTCTGGAAGATCCAGCTTATTTTTCGAATTTATTAAATCTGAAGAAGAACAGAACAGAAAGAGTTACGCAAATGTTTATTATTTATTACTTAGTGGTACTACACACAGGCTAGTGGTTTCAGTGAATCTTAATTATCGTTATACCGATGTGGTAAGTAGATGTCTAAAAATTTTCTAATTTGTCTCGGAAGAGGAGTGACCTAATTCTTGCCCTAATTCTTGCCCTAATTCTTGCATAATATAAAACTTAATATAAAAGTTTTATATTATATTGTTAATATTGGATATTGTTTAAGAACAAAGATATGTCATTATTTCTGAATTGCTTTTAAAGCAATATNTATATATATATTTAAAATTTTTTCATTGGTTTTCAAACGGATGGGTATTAGTTAGCACCTAACTAATACCCATCCTAGATTACAGCCGATCTTACCCGTAGAAAACGGGTAAGATCGGCTGTAATCTAATAATCTTAATCTTTGCTATCGTTACTTTTGTCCGAGCAGCGGCGGGATCATCTGCTAATATTCAAATAATTTTCTTATACAAGTACCCAATAATAGAAGTTTTAATTCCTAGTAATTATTATTATAGATAGATGTAATACAAATTTCTCTCCAAATTCAAAAATTTTCAATTAAATATAATTAATTAATTTAATTACGCAATCATAATTTTACATCAAATAATTTAAATTTAAATTTAAATTATTTGTAAAAGTGAAACTTTCCCTTAAAAAATCAAATCAAGAAACATCACAACTGTATTCACATAATAAATATAATAATAATAGTAATATTAATCTCTTACTAAAACTAATTATAATGTGAAATTATCATCAATAATTCAATATTTAGAAGCTTGGTTGTCAATAAATTGGATATCCACTCAGCTTATTTTTAAAAAATAAAACACTGAACACCTTATAACGCTTGGTTGTCCTTGATAATACATTATTAAATTCAGTGAAAGATTAATTTTAGATCTATAAGATTATTTTCTACTGCAGTATGTTTAACCAACCTTTAATAGTTAACTTAATTAGTATAACTAAGCATCAAATGAATAAATCTTAAGTTTATTGTAATGAGTTAATAAAGAATAGCGTTATAAGAGAAATAGTCAAGATTAATTTGTGTTTAATTACAACTACAATAAATGGTAAGCGACATTTTTCTACACATATTTAATTTTATGTTTTAAAGATTTCAAAAGATACAAATAAAAGTATTTATATATATAAACTTGTTTATTTTAAAATATTTTAATTGAGTTTATATATATATATATGATTAATTTTAAATAATTCTACGTTTGATCAATATTTATAAATAAGGAAAACTTCATCCACTGGACTTCGATTACTTTCAGTTTAAGAGAAGCAACTTCTTAATCAGGGCGATGAAAGAGAGTAAAAACTTGCCAAGTATTATCGGCTTATAGAGAAAGAGTAAGCATAGCAATTTGGTACTTTAAACAACCAAGAGGTAGTGTAGTTAGTATGCAATGCCTGGATGATCCAAGAATAGAAGTAGCCCAGGTCTTAGTCTGTTATATCCTTTCCTTTAGGAAGCAAAATTATCTAAAAAATAAAAGAATTTCTTATAGAAAAAGCTTTTCGTCATATTTTAACTTGGTTAAAATTATATAAATTTTATACTTTACTAGAAGATTGTACCTAATTAGAAAAGTAATGTTACGTAAATACAACATATTCAAAGAACGTTTTTAATTAAAAACTATCTTATGTAAATTCGGCTTGATGAATTTTTCACATTATATAAACTAATTTATTTCAATTAAAATTACAAATAAAGTTACACGTAATGATAATTTCTACATTAACTTCTCAAGTTGTTTCTAATTTGTATGGAAATAAGTTTTTTCATAAACCTTTCTACTTTGTATTAATTTCAAAAAAATTACATTTTAATAACCGTCTATGATGTATAATTATCACATATAATTAATACATATTATTATAATTTTCATTACATTTTATAACACTTTTCCTGATATTATATAGATACTGTATATGATATTCAAATAAGAACTTGCGACGAACATTAGACAAAAATCATAATTCATAAGGGAGGTAATCAATTACAATTGCTTAATTATTTATTTTTACAATACTGTAATGCATATTACATATTCTATTGGATATTAGAATAATATTGACCCTGTGTAATAGTTACGAGCTAATTTATTGATAATAGTCATTGATGTATTCATTGAATTAATTAATTACGGCTAGAATTTGATGTTTGATAATAAAACAACTAATAAATAGTATTATTTATACAATTAATTTTTAAATAAAATTTAATATCCTAAACTTTATATAATACCTCCAAAAATCATTAGTAAAAATGAAAAATAATTTATCTAATTAAGCTTATTCTTTCTTTCTTTACTGTAAACTGAATATTAATAAATGATCAATTTTATGACTTTGTTTAGAATGCGAAATGAAAGTAAATATAATGATTATTTAATATTATAAATTGAAATATATAAAATTTATAATTGTGTGAAACAAGTCTGAATTACGTAAAGTTAATGATGAGATTACTTAAGCTTTATTCTGCATTCTTCAGTGAAGTAGAGGGTGAAATTACTTGATCGATCACATTTAGTGCTGACATCAATAAAGAGAATTCCGACAGACAACCGACTTCATCCTAAAACAAGTAAAGATGGAAAATATTCGGAATTTTTTCTGTACATTGCAGTAATTTATTAAAATAAAAGATACTAATCATTTCATATTAAACAAGGAAACATATAATANAATGTATTAAAGAAAAAAGCAGACGGAAGAGAGGTGAATGCCCGAAACGCGTATCGGTATGTAAGACATTCCTGAATACAGAGTGATGTTAAAGATGCCCAGTGTCTAAATATGCACCCAGTTGTGAAGTAAAGAATAAAATTCGTGGTTGTCAATGTTCTTATATTTTGAAAGTTTTACAGAAATTTAATATTGAAAATGTTTTCATTATTGTTAAATTAAAATATATGTAGTTATAGTTGAACCCGTATATAATCAGCTAGCTTAATGTCACGATTTTTCAAAATACAATTGTCATTTTATACATTGATACAAATAATTTAAGTTTAACCCCATTAAAATCATTTCGTTTAATATCTTATTTCACTTTTTATCACGAAAATATTTCGCTTTTTGTTTAGTTGTGGGTTAATTATGATTAATACAGTAAAAAATTTTTGCATTTGCTCAGTTTACTAAATTTATACATTACTCCGTATAACAGTAGCGTGATCAAATTCACTTATAAAAGTGGATTGGCGTAATATGGATCAAACAGAGATTCAGAGTCGACCACTTGTTTATAGTAAACATCTTTCCTTTCTGTTTTATCTTTGCAAATAGGCCTTTTTGGTTAAACGCAAGTGTCAAACTCGCAATTTTTTTAGGCGACTAAATTTTCCAGTGAAAAGGTGACAAAATATCGCATAAGTATGTTAATTAGTATGATAGATGAAAACAATCGCTTTTAGTCATTGGAGAATCGAAAATGTCTTATTGTTTTTGTAATGTAAATATACAAAGTCTATCAATTGCATACAAATATAATTTGAAATGTTTGGATGATTTCGGTCATTTTTAGAAATTGATTGCATGAATGGGAAAAAGAAATGGGTTTAAAAGAATGAAGAATAATCTAATCTCAATTCGAACATTTGTACTTGTGAATCCTTGATTACAAGGCTGAATGCCCAAGTCATCATTTTTCACTGAAACGAAACTATCAGCGTGTATTTTGAAGTTATTAACTGCAATTCTATTTTTATGAAGAGTCATGGAAAACAGTTTAGTCCTGTACAATTTTTAATTCTTTTATTAAAGTAAAAACAGACGTCTTTGAGGAAATTAAGCAATAAGTATCTATTGGTTTTAATGACTCTGAACTCGACTCCAATTTCAATGAATTCTTGGATATCGATAAAGATGCTAAATGTGTCAAGTTATTAAACGACGATGTGATCGTTTCGACTATAGTGGAAAATTGATCCACTACTGTTACCCAGATACTTAGCAACATACGTCAGTACTTTCAGTTCTTTTAACAAATCGATATTTAATTATATCTTTGTAAAACAAGTGTTATTAGCACTATATACCACATCAATTTAGTTTTATTTGATTCAGAAGAAAATATGTTCTTTCTGTTGTAAGAAGAAAATTTGTTGCTACAATGACCTGATATAAACTGTCCTGAAACTCAAGGGATGTGTTGTAGCGAATGGAGAGTTCATTTTTTGCTTTTACTCTCGAAAGTTTAATTAGTTAAAGTTTAATAAATTAGTATGATTAGCTTGTTTATGAGAAATTTGAAACGTTAATTGATATTAAATTTTATATTGTTTGAATTTAACATTATAGTATAAGTGCTTTTTGTAATATTAAATTTTCGACAGTTATTGTAGATGTTGACATCCTCCAAGCTTCTATATAGCTCTCTTAACCATCGGGAAATTGCTTCTAGAAACAAAATGCACGTTTCCAAGTAAATTTATAATTATATTTGGGCATTTATAACTTCATATCATATTATCTACGCTTTCTTTATCATTATTAATTATGATATTATTTTTATCCCACCAGCTTATCCCATTTCTATATGGTGGCCTCTGTTTTTACGAGCATCCAGGTTGTCCTATATCACATCATCTCCTCTAATTTCTTTCCTCCAATATCTTCTTCAGAACTTTCCTCTAACTCTCTTTGCCTACTTCTTTTCTACTTTGCTCACAACTCAATACTCAAAAAATCCCACCTATCAACACGAGTTTCTCCCTCTTTTCAAATAAGACAGATTACGCTTGTTTGGTTACTGTATCTTTACTTTTACTTTTATTTGGTTGCTGTATCTTTACTTTTACTTTTATTTTTACTTTTACTATTCAATTAAATATGATAAAATTGAAACGTTAACAATAACATTAAATAAAATATAACTTTGAAGAATTTTTATTTATTATTTTTTGTAATAATAATATTTCAAGCGCATAACCTTATATTAAAAATATTTGAAACTCTTTTTAATATTTAAGAAATTGTTAAAATACTTATAAAAAAAATCTAATAATAAAAACATGAAAATGTTCTATATTTTAGAATATTTCAATAATTTCCATTTTAGTTACATTTTTATCACTCGAGCGTTTAAGACAACCAATGAATAAATTTTAAATATTTTTTATAATTCAATGATATTTTTCAATATTGCTTTAAAAGCAATTCAGAAATAATGACATATCTTAGTTCTTAAACAATATCCTATATTGTTTAAGAACAATATAGGATATTGTTATTCTTAAACAATATCCAATATTAACAATATAATATAAAACTTTTATATTAAGTTTTATATTATTATTTTTACAGTTAGTTAAAACTAAAGTTTAGGAAAAGTTACCGATACTTTAGCTTAATTAAAGAAAATAAATTTGTGGTTGACTTATTCTGAAACCGTGTCTTCTATTAATTATTCTTTCTTCACAACTTAAGACTAAGTGCTGTTCAGTGCACTGTCGGGAAATTTTAACTGTAAATATATGTGTTTTAAAAACGGATGGGTATTAGTTAGCACCTGTTTACTAAATGTATTAAAGAAAAAAGCAGACGGAAGAGAGGTGAATGCCCGAAACGCGTATCGGTATGTAAGACATTCCTGAATACAGAGTGATGTTAAAGATGCCCAGTGTCTAAATATGCACCCAGTTGTGAAGTAAAGAATAAAATTCGTGGTTGTCAATGTTCTTATATTTTGAAAGTTTTACAGAAATTTAATATTGAAAATGTTTTCATTATTGTTAAATTAAAATATATGTAGTTATAGTTGAACCCGTATATAATCAGCTAGCTTAATGTCACGATTTTTCAAAATACAATTGTCATTTTATACATTGATACAAATAATTTAAGTTTAACCCCATTAAAATCATTTCGTTTAATATCTTATTTCACTTTTTATCACGAAAATATTTCGCTTTTTGTTTAGTTGTGGGTTAATTATGATTAATACAGTAAAAAATTTTTGCATTTGCTCAGTTTACTAAATTTATACATTACTCCGTATAACAGTAGCGTGATCAAATTCACTTATAAAAGTGGATTGGCGTAATATGGATCAAACAGAGATTCAGAGTCGACCACTTGTTTATAGTAAACATCTTTCCTTTCTGTTTTATCTTTGCAAATAGGCCTTTTTGGTTAAACGCAAGTGTCAAACTCGCAATTTTTTTAGGCGACTAAATTTTCCAGTGAAAAGGTGACAAAATATCGCATAAGTATGTTAATTAGTATGATAGATGAAAACAATCGCTTTTAGTCATTGGAGAATCGAAAATGTCTTATTGTTTTTGTAATGTAAATATACAAAGTCTATCAATTGCATACAAATATAATTTGAAATGTTTGGATGATTTCGGTCATTTTTAGAAATTGATTGCATGAATGGGAAAAAGAAATGGGTTTAAAAGAATGAAGAATAATCTAATCTCAATTCGAACATTTGTACTTGTGAATCCTTGATTACAAGGCTGAATGCCCAAGTCATCATTTTTCACTGAAACGAAACTATCAGCGTGTATTTTGAAGTTATTAACTGCAATTCTATTTTTATGAAGAGTCATGGAAAACAGTTTAGTCCTGTACAATTTTTAATTCTTTTATTAAAGTAAAAACAGACGTCTTTGAGGAAATTAAGCAATAAGTATCTATTGGTTTTAATGACTCTGAACTCGACTCCAATTTCAATGAATTCTTGGATATCGATAAAGATGCTAAATGTGTCAAGTTATTAAACGACGATGTGATCGTTTCGACTATAGTGGAAAATTGATCCACTACTGTTACCCAGATACTTAGCAACAACATGATGAAGGAAAAAAATATTACAAATGCTTTCGCTTGATTTTATTCAATTGCGAGAACGCGACACGTGGGCGACTTGCCGAGGGGAATTCCTCCCGGGAGGTCTTTCAGGGAAACTGGCCCCTATTTAATGTTCCTAACGTGAAGAAAACCCGGAAAACTCTATGTGGCTAGCCCGTTTGCGAAAAGCAAGAACCCACGATCAGTGTTCAGTAGTTTCATGCACTCGGCCACTGGTGAGCACGAATAGTATGGCAACAGAAAGTTTAAATATTCTGCAGAAGTTTTTGTCTAGTGTAGGATAACAAGATTGGTAAGATTTTACCCCGATGAAGCGGCAAGTTCAATGTAACATTTTAAAAAATATAACTGAAACACGCTAAATGGTTACAATAACCTTAAAGTACTTCGTGGAATAAAGCTGTAAGTAACGATTTGCTATTAAAGTATAGTATATAATTATAAAAAAAATCATATAATGAATTTCTTATGAAAAATCATATTTCTTTTTACTCTACTCACCTTTAACTTTTGTAAGTACTGTAAGATCTCGTTTTATGCGGTGGATACGTTCTACAGAAAAGCGCATATAAAAAATTCGCATAAAAAAAGACTTTACTTGCCTTGAAAAAGTAGGGATACGTTCCGTAATTTTCTAAAATCGCTTAAACCCAAAACCACGAGTTAAAATTAACTTAAAACCGCATAAAAAGTTTGCAGAAATTAATTAATTTAATTAATTTAATTTAATTAATTAGACGAGAACTCGTCAAGTTTACATAGCGTTACGAAAAACTCGGTAGTTAAGGCTACTTTTGACAAAAATTTTTTTTTCAATTTTTGGAATGTTTTTTAGGTTCACAAATTTTTGCAAAAATTTTTACCCGCGATAACATTTTATCGCGATTTTAATTAGCCTTTGATAAGACTCGATTAAGGCTTAATTGTTTTTAATGGGAGTTTTTTTATCAAATTTAATTCATCCTTCTAAAGTTCTAGTGCACGGATTTTCCTTTGGTAAAGTTATTTATAGCTACTTTCTGATGTCAAAAACGACCTCCAATAGTTTTTTAATTTTTTTAATTAATAGATTTTATTATATATAAATTTAATTAATTAGGGGGAGTCGGAAATCGCAATAAAATTTTTAATTTTTTAAAAATATTTAAAAATATACGGCCAGCTAGTGTTCACCCTACTTTAAACCCTTGTCCTCCCGCGACGTCTATGAGAATGCCCCGGGAAATCCAACTCCAGCTGTGTTCAAGGTCATCCAGATGTGTAAACAATGACTCATCGGTGTTAAATTTCACAGAAGGGCGAGACAAAGGAAGTTAAACTTTGAAGCTTTTTCTTCAAAATTAACGCATTTCTTTCGTTTTTTTCAGTTTTAAGTATTTTTTATGTTTAATTACATTTATATCAAAAATTGCTAGGAACTAAAGCGATTAAGGTAGATCTAGCTGTCCTTTACATCCATAAACGTTATATGTCAGTGGAACAAATGGAGTGAGCTTTGAGCGTTCCACGATTTTTGGAGACTGTCTATACGCGGGCTTCCTAAACAAGCCTATATGTATGTTTGTCTAAGAAATTTTTGGATGAAATACAAACCGCACAACTTCAAAATCGCATAAAAATAATCCGCATAAAAAGAGACCTTACAGTATAACTTTTAGTTAATAAATGTAACAATGAATATTTATGTAACATAAGTATAAAGGTTTATTACTTCCACAGAATTGTTATAAATAACATTGTTTATGTAATAATAATTTGTCTTGTTGCATCAATTTGTCAAGGAGATGGACGACAGTTCCAAATACTTTGTTTTCTAGAAGTGTCTTATTCTCTAAAGTAGATTCCAGTTCAACTGGCAAAAAATTTAAATCAAAGTATAATATAATCCTTCAACAACAACCAATTGTCGTTTTGCTTGACTCTGGAAAGAAATGTGGAGAGATAACGTTCTAGAAAGAACGTTATCTCTCCAAATACAGTTCTATCTATAGAAAACAAGGGTAAGATTCTAAAATCCATTCATGCAATATATTAAAAATATTGTTATCCAAAACTATAAAGAGATTTTAAATTGTCCCTGGATACTTAATTAGCAGTTTACTACTTACAAGTTAGAAACAGCTCTTATACAGTCAAATGTTGTAGATGAAACTCTCGGATTGACGTTTTTATTATACATATAACGATATGTTTGCATTAATATGTTAATTAATATAATGCTGTGGTTACTATATTATATAGGCTATCGATGTATTAACATGTTGTGTAACCAGAAATCAATAAATAAATAACGTTATAAAGTCAAATACGTGCAGAAGTTATGTTCTTATCGGGGATCTTATTAGGCTGAAATTTTCAAATTGTAGGCACATAGATTTACACTGTCGCCTGTCTGTCTGTCCTTCGTTAATCTCGAGAACGGAATTAGATATGAAAAATCGAGACTGGATATGGAAAGCTTAGGAGCTGGGGGGCCGATTAATTTTTAAATTAAAATATAATTAAAAATTGCAGCCCGGCATTTTGACGCTGTACAATAAATAATTAAGATTTTTAGTTTGGTTTAGTTTTTAATCAAGTTTTACTTGAAAATAGAAATTATCTAATAATTCCTTTTGTTTAATATAGCTGTACCACTTTAATGTATATCGCACTATCAGGTATGCTAACTTCTACAAATTCCTGGAAAATATTAATAACCAATACCAAAAAACTCGTGAATCTGCAGGAAGAAATGGAACTGATTATGAAGAAATGGAAGGAGAAACCGTTATTTTTTCATTGCTTCAGTAATGGAGGAGCTGTATTGTGCAGTACGACCTTATTAGAGAAGATTTATTTAAAAGAAACGAGATATACAACGTAAGAATTGAAATTGGTAAAACATTAAATTATTAATTATTTTAATTAATTTAATTTAATTTAATATATTATATTTTAGATCAAAGGATGTATTTTTGATAGTAGTCCGGCAGAAGTTAAATTGTCTTGTGTGCCGTATGTTATTAACAATGATTTTAACCGAAACCTATACCAAGATAACAGAGTAACAGTATTCCGACAAGGTGTACTGTTACTCTGTGAACATCGGATAACACTAGTTGTCAGTTTTACCCTGTTTTATCTTTTGTCGGGAATAATACATATTAACTGAAAATAGAATAGTCATACACCTATGTAGTAAATATAATAACACAATTTTAAAATGTACCATTATATGACATCACTGAAGAGTGGTTGGGAACATAAACCAATCCGAAATGCATTTGCATGAAAAATTGTTTTAAATAAGCCGTAACGTTTTCCTAACTAATTGCTGTTTGGCAGAATTTGAACATACAGCAACCATACTTTCTACATTACGATGTAATATATTAATATATGGAAATAGATTTAGACCAAACACATGATTGGATTAAATATAAATATTATCTTATTACTAAATTTTTATAGATAAAAATAATTTTATTTTATTATTTTAGATGAAGACTGTCTCTTTTAAAATAAATACATACCTACATTCCTTTAGGCACATTTTCCAGAAGAGATCGCCCACATACACCTATTCATTTATCAGATTTCTCCAAATCATATTATTTCTAAATATCTCTTCTACCACATTCACTTTTCTCGCGCATTACACGCTTATAATCTTTCGCTCTTCGGATATTCACCACTTGATCTGACCAGGATTTCCTTGGTCGTTCCTGTTTCGCTTTTATCCACGCTTCCCAAATATATTCTCTGTTCAGTAATTCTTACTCATTTATTCTCTCAGCGTGACCAAATCATCGAAAATCCGACTCTCTCAGAAAAAAAAAAATGCAAGTCAAAATATACCTTTCAGTGGTAAAAAATAACTTTTTTAAAGTAAAAAATTTACTTTTAATTACAAATGTTCAATACTTGAATGTTTGCACAATGAAAATATTGTGACAATTTATCTCAATGTTTGGAATAAATGACTGCAAAATTTGGTTCGTGTAAATACAATTCAATAATCATTTCCTAGTTATAAATAAATAAATTTCTGTAAAATGGATATTTATAATGAATTTATTAACAAATGAAAATGTTGTTCAATTTTATTCCCTCTAAAAATTGAAAAATACTTTCATTTGTTTAAAAATTTAGAAACTACATAACACTTTAAATTTTCTTTTCCAAATTTTATGATTCTTTCTAAAATTTTTGATATTTTTATTGTTATTACTATGATGTATTCAGATATATTCAGTAGTATAATTTAAGGATAAAATTTTATTTAATTAAAAATTATATAATTATCAAAATAATTTAACAACCTAATTTTATGGTTATATTTTAAAGTAATATAACTATGATTGATTAAATATATATATTTGTATTTCTGTAATAAAATTTATTTTTTAAAAACAATATAAATTTTGCTTCTATAGCAGATAATTTCTATTTTACCTGGATATAAGAAAATAATTAGAAAATATTTAAATGAACAAATTTATTTTCAAATATTAAAGAATAAATTTAAGAAATTATTATGCGAAGAAAATTAAAATATTTCCGCTACTTCCTTTAGTATAAATCTAATAATATGAGTTGCCGCTGCAGAATTATAATAATAATAATTGGATTAGCTCACTTTTGAACACTCGAGTAAAAAAAATAATAATAAACTGACTCGAAAACTAAATTGAATTTGGAGTAGAGATCTGATATTCCGAACTTCTGGTAAAGACTAACCTACAAACTTCACAGGAAAACATGGTTCCACTTAATCATAATTTAAAATATTGCACTCAAGTCTAACTATTTCTATATTTTCCTCTGCCTTCCCTACCAATATAAATATTATTGTCTCATAAATTATGTATGGGATAATAATATTTATATCTGAATAATAAAAAGTTTAAAAACAGAAAATTTTAATATATTACTTTATTAAGATTCTTGGAATTGATATTGGATATTACATTGAAATTTCAGTATTTCCTTCTAAATATTATCAGATATTTCAGAAATTAACTCAGAGATAATACTATTGATAAAATAAACCAAACTAATTACACTTTATAAATGTAGTTTATTTATATAATGATGTACTAATAAAAAATTTAAATTGAAAAATAACGAGTAATTACGAGCTGCAATTTTTAATCATAATCTTAATTTTTCATTTAATTTAAAATGTAAATTAAATATAAAACTTCTTTATCTCATCCATCTCAAATTAGTAGTGACTTGCCCTGTACATCATGCTTTTCCTGTTGACAATAGAGTCATGCTGATCATCTATGTAACTTCATTCAGGGAACTTTTTTGAATTAAAAAGCACGTTATTTCCAGTCTAGAGCGGACGTTCGGTATATAGTTAATTGCAGCCGCCTGCCACTAAGATTTATATATCTGCTACTGACTTTTATAGCCCTAAAACGTTTCTCGTGATACATAATGGACAGACAGCCAGAAGTCTGTCCATTAGTGGGAAATTTATAAGTCCCACTGTTGTCCGTCCAATTTATTGGAATATTGTAAATCAATAAATTAATATTATTAGAATAATATTAATTTATTGGGTTACAATTTTTTAAATAAATTATACAATAAATTTTACAATTAATATCAATAATTGTATATTCGATTTGATTAATTTAACAAGCTATTATAATATATATTTTATTGTTTACATTTTTATCCAGTCTTGAAAAACTAAAATGCCAGTTGTGAGAATCCGCTGTGAGGAGGTAATTACTCTTATCACCTATGCGTGGCGTCCGGACGGTTAGTTCCGCTCACTTTACTACTGGATGAATGGCTATATTATTTGTTGTTCGGATTGTAAAATCCATTCGACGTCAGGCTCCTGACACCAGTTAAGAAGTAACGCGTTTTAACGCGTTACTTCTTAACTGGTGATATGGACATAGAAGGGTTTTGTGGTTCGAGCGGGGAGGGGTTAGTGCGTTTGCCGATAGGAGTCTGGCCTCAAAGTAAATCCAATCACCATCAAATAAACAAATAACAAAAGGTTTAATGAGTAAGATAAAGCCTTGAGTAAATACATACAAACAGGTTAAAATATATCTGTCTACATGCTAGCAGCTAGCTCTCTCGGTATACTAGCGATATAAGTAGCTAACTTATATCGCTAGTATACCGAGAGAGGGAGTTTACATTAATCTGAGCATAATACCTGTTGTAGACCGGCCGATGTCTTCTTGCTAACCGATTCGGACGAGAGAACAGTGAGGAGAATCTTCTCTCTGGAAGTTTGAACTCGATGGAGATGGTCGAGAGCTGGGAGAGGAAAGAATTGACGGACTGAAGCTTGGCCCATTAGCTTTTAGGAGAGAGTCCGCTCTGCCCCTTTTATCTCCGGCTCCCCTCCCATTGGGAGGTAAGTCTTGCCTACGTGAGGGAATATAATTGCTGCATCTCATGGGCAGCTGTGAGACATACTTGCAGGTGTATCATCAGCTGGCAAGACTATCTATTCCCTATAAAAAAATCTTAACTAGACAGAAGTTTTATTTCTCTTTGTATCCGTTTCTCACGAACGTATAAAGTGGTCTGTCGTTTTTATGTGGTCTGGACACGTTTTTCACATTAATTATTAAATGAAGGTTAAAAAATTCTCCAATCTTAAATAGAGGCTTTTGTTCTGTCTTCAGCTTCTCACATATTGTTGAAAAACAAAGTGTGATACCAAGCTGTCATCTGTGTGCGTGTGTGTGTTAATTCCTTATAACTACTGCAATTTTTGTCCAATCCAGATGAAATTTTGGTTATATTCATTTCATGTCCTGACGGAAAGAATAGGCTACTTATTTTGCAGAAATATTAGCTATAGAATAAACGTTTTACCAGTGATCGAACTTACGTTTCAGTGACGTCAGTGACCTCATTTAGCTCATGTTTCACCGGGGAATTTACCTTAAGTTGCATTTTTAGATATTTTGGCAAATGGAATATTTTACACTTACTTCATTATACAGTAGAACCTCCATTATCCGGACCTCCATTATCCGGATTTTCGATTATCCGGATTGTTCAAAATAAACAAAAATTTTACGAATTTGCTGATTCGCACTTGGCGAATTACGACACTGTTTATGTACGTGATGGAATGCATAACTTTTTTTGTTTCAACAACGTCTCACCC